TATGTGGAAAATACCATCAACACCTTGCTCCTTGATTTTGGACATTGCTTTTTCCATCAGCAATTGGGACCACATCACCTTGTTTAATTGATAGGATATCAATTTTTATAAATGATAACAGCGACTACTTTATTGCTTTCTCTTTCTTCAAACGCTGGTGTTGTTTTGTTATTTGGATAGGTCTAGTTATATAACTAGTTCCAAGTATTGTTACCTGTATCGAACCAATTTTTTAGATGCATAACGAGGCAGTAGTAACTATAGTGTATACTAGAATTTAACCCACGGCACGCGTAGGTTCTATTTATAAAAATTTGACTATATATAAAATTATAGGTTGTATATGCTTTCTATTAGTTGTTTTTTTTTTAGTTTGTTACTATAAGAAGGTTATGAGGTTTTACAGCTTATATTTTTCCTCCTTAGACAGATTATTACAAACATTAAAAATCTGATTGTATCTTACTTTTACATCACATCTTTCTATTCTATTTTCAACCTATTATACCTCGATATACCCATGAAAAGACTTTTGACCATACCCCAAACTTGGTCACATAGAATATCAAAGGATCTGCTTCATATGATGGTCTCATTTAACTCTAACATCGCACAACCCCAAAATGATTTGCAAGAAAATAAGAATCTTGTTGTTGGCAGAAATCATTCTTTTATTTTGTTTTTGTTGATTTATTTTATTATCGTTGACTTTTATTTTGACTTCAGTGACCTATTTTATTATCGTTGACTTTTATTTTGACTTCAGTGACCTATTTTATTTTCGTTGATTTATATTTTATCTACGTTGGCTTATTTTATCTTTGTTGACTTATTTTATCTTTATCATCGATTTATATTTTGTCTTTGTTGATTTATTTTATCATCAGTTACTTATATTTTGTTACTTGACTTATTTTATCTTCGTCGACTTATGTTTTATCTTTGTTGACTTATTTTATCTTCATCAACTTATATTTTTCATCGTTGACTTATGTTTCTTAACGCAGAAAAATATAAATTTACTATATAAAATAAGTTAACAAAAACAAAATAGAAGTCAACAAAATAAGATAATTCAACAAAGATAAATAAAGAGATGGTTAAAATAAATCAAATTTTAAAATAAAAGTTAGCAACTAAATTTAAGCCAAATGCTTAAAAAAATACAGCCAAAAACAAAAATAATATAATATAAAATCTTATATTATTATTAAAACATTAACATAATATAAGAAAATTGCATAATATAATATAATTCATGTTGTGTTATATATCCTTTTTTATCAATGGTTCATCTCTACATGAACATATTTTCTTGGTTTTATTATTTGTATTCAGTTATGCAGTTTTATATTATATATATATATATATATATGTTTGCACTTATTAAATATAGATAAATAATTCATTAATTATCTTAAATATATAATTAAAACTAATAAAAATCTGCCATGTGCAGCTGAGGTGGCAGAAAGAAAAGAGTGAAAAGTTAACTTTATATATATAGATTGTTCATTAGTAATTGTCTAGTCTTATCGTATATAACACATACAATAAATAGTCTTATGTAAAAGTTATTTAGTTACTTACTTCATTAGAATCAACATTGAGTTGTATGGGAAAATAGCAACTCCCAATAATAACTATTAATTACTTAAGTATTAGAATCAACTTTGACTTATATGGAGAAAATAGACAACTAATAATAATCAACTTTGAGTAGTAGCTATCTTATCGAAATAGGCAACTATTAATACTCAATGCGGATTAGTATCTACTTGTATCTGTCTAACAGTTCTGAACAACACCTTCTAGGTAATTATTTTTCTGCACCGAAAGCTTGCATGAAACTCCTTGTAGTTGCATGTCTTTGAAAAGAGGTTCACTGTGAACCTCTCCCTCTTTTGTTGTAAACTTCATACTCGTCATGACCAAAAACAACCACTTACATTTTAAACATAGTCAGCTACTAGTAATCGTCTACTATAAATATATGAACACAACAAACAAAAGAATTGGAATTAAAAGGAATGGCTATGCTGAAGTGATAGGTGACTAGTTGATATATGTCTATTTACCTTCAACCTGATGCAACCATAGAAAATATCTTCCATAATGTCTCGCACTTTCCGAGTTCGAGAATGTTCGTCTGAGGCAGATGTAGTTTTTTTTTATGAAAACAATCATCTACTACATAACCGCATACTCTGAGCAAATGATTTTCTATGAATATAGTCAACTATGGCCATGGAGTTACCATTGTGACCTCTCCCAAGACACCTGTTGTAAAGCCTTGCTGCCTTCCTCGAACGTCTCTGTGTCATACAAACGAGTTGGATCAACCACATTTCTACCAAAAAGTAGTCAACTATGACTGATTATAAAAAATCTGACTATGTTACTGATGAGGACATGGGCCCGGAGCCACCTGAGATCGCCAAGATTCCCACCATGTATGAGCCGCCAAGGACAAGATCCGGTGCAAGAACTCTTAGAGAAAAGTTTGGTGAAGCTGTGGAAGGACTATTGGCACAACAAGAGCTTGAAGACCTCAACAAGAAGATGGACACACTCAGCCACACAAGTCAAGAAAGACAAGAAAGCCTCACGGATCAAGCACTCGAGGATCCAGTAGAGACTAAGGCCTGGTCCCTTTTGAAGATCACTCTCGGCCCAACCTTATTATCCATCAGTCAGCTTCCAAACGACATCACTTAGGCTCAAGACGCGGAGGAGCCTCAAACTTTCCATTTCCTGGTAAGTTTTCCATTTGAATTCAAATAACGAGTTTTCCTTTTTGTTGTTTTGCAGGAATTAAACATTAGTCCTTTAAGTTATTTTTCCTTTTTGCATTTGTCTTTAAGTTTTTAGAGAAACTCTCGATTGTAATAGATTTCCTTTTCTGCCTTTTATTTTTGGTTTGCCCTAGAAGGCTCCAGCCGACGAACCATTCTTATAAGGTTCCACATGCGGCTTTGTAGAACACACTTTTGCTTTTGATATCAATAAAACGAGAGGTTTTTCTTATACTTGTGAGTTCTTTGAATCTTGTGCGGCTTCCCCTTGATTCTGAGAGTTCTCGACTGTCACAACTTCTTCATCAGTTGTGTGTGTGTCACTTCGATCCACCGTTTGTTCTTCACGACGTCTCACCCACTAGGTTAAGCAAAGAGAGCCGTTAGGCCAGTTGTTTAGTCCCCACCGACCTATTCCCCCATCGATTCAACTCTTGTCTAAGTAGAGAGAGCCGTTAGGCCAGCTACAAGGACCCCCTCCATATCGGTTTATAAGTTCATACCCCTGATCTTATATCAGTTACAAACACTAAATAGTTGACTATGTTACCTTCATTTCTCCTCTAGATGGGATCCTTATTTTCTTTGGTCGACCAGGTGGTTAGCGCAATAATAGGGGAAGTAGTTCTGAGTCATACTGGGTGGAAATTTCCTTCATAAAGAGAACTCTGAAAACTTGTTGTGTACACCTCTCCCACAAAATTCTCGTTTGCAATGTTACGGTAAGAAGAAGTTGTCATTCCATGACGACATGGTATGAGGAGCAGTTGAAACTCCTTGCAGCTGCATGTCTTTAAAAAGAGGTTCACTTCGAACCTCTCCCCTTTTCTGTTGTAAACTTCATACTCATCGTGCCCAAAAACAGCCACCTACATTTTAGACATAATCATATAAAAGATTTCGCCCATTCTTTTTTTTAACAATTTGTAGTCGTCTACTATAAATATATGAACATAAGAAACAAATGAACTAGAATTAAAAAGGTTGTCTATATTGAAGTGATAGACGACTAGTTGGTATATGTCTATTTACTTTCAACTTGGTGCAACCATAAAAGATATTGTCCATAATGTCTCACACTTTTGGAGTGAGATGATGTTCGTCTTAAGCGGATGCAGTTTTTTAATGAAAATATGCGTCTATTACCTAACTGCATACTCTTAAAAAATGATTGTTTTTATGAAAAATAGTCAACTACTGACTAAACAAATTAAAAACGGCGAATTTAGGCACATCTGATTCTTCTACGGTAATCGAATGTAAGAGGATTGAGGATTTTATATGAAAACAAATATCAGATCTACTATATAACTAGAAAATTTCAAAGAATTAGTAGATGTAGGATCTGTGTTCAGACACCAAAGGAGAAGATGCGAAGACGTTGAGGATTGGAGGACAGCTGCTCAACGAAGGAGACAGTTAGGATTCAGGTTCGACGAGTAGCACAGATGGGGATGAGTCTCCGGCGAAGTGGACTGGTTTAAAATCATGGTTTCGATATATGTCAGGAAAGTGAAAGACGGCTCTTTCGACGAAAAAAAGAGGATATAAGGAAAAGATTTGGAAATGATGGATTTGATTTCAAAATTTGAAATGGAGAATATGAAAGGTAGAAGTAAATTACTAATTTCAAAAAAAAAAAATCAGCAAAACAAAAAGGTAAATTGTGTCCGAACCCATTTTATAACTTGTGTTAGTTTATTTAAAAGTTAAAAGAAAAAATATCAAAATGATCTGAAAAGAGGTTGAACATAGGTTTAAAAGGGTTCAATAGGTCATAATTAATACATGTGCTGCTGCTGACTGTTTCATTATATTTATACACAAACTTGTTTATATATAGATTATAGGTGTCATATGACCCCTTAGCTCTATGTAGACCAGAAAAATTTATGTTGCTATGATACAATTTTTATGGTATAAAGTTGAGAAGGTATATAATGTTTTTGCACATGAGTAACAAAACGACTTTTTATTCTAGTAAATCGCTCTTAGAAAGCTATTATTCATTGCAATTTTTAGTTATAAAATCACTTGTTCAAACGGCTTAAGAATAACTGATTAATTAATACGAACAAACACTAAATCAATCTAAAAGGTTTCGTTTTCAGACTAACAATATTCTTAAAGTTGCAGAAAAGCCCCAACCAAACTATAGAGTGAGCTTGGAAAAAAGCTCTAATTCGTAGTGTAATAGTTAAATCATAAATTAAAAATGCAACGTGGTTTAGATTGAACTTTGATTTCAATTCGTAAACACAATATTCAAATAACCAATAAAACCACTAAAATATCTCGAATGTATTAAAAAAAAAGAAAAAAAATATAGATGGGAGATGCCATCCTTTTGAACTTGGTCCAGATGCAGAATAGTCCAGTCTTTTTGCTTTACCGTAACCCAACAAAGACCACACACACTAAATCTCATTTCTTTATCTCCTTTTGAGGAGGAAAGTGAACACACAAAAAAGAAAGCTGTTTTCAATTGCTAAGGCGTGACGGAACGTGGCGGTGTCCTTGATTCCCCTGGAGGAGTCTGACCCTCTGATCCCTTTGACGGGTCATCAGACGATTGTCTTAACCCGTCATCAGTTGTTTCACTTCTGTTCACATCCTCAATCATTCTCAGCACTTCCTGCATCACCGGTCGTTGATCAGGAACCGTAGAGACACAAGCCATTGCGATTTGAAGAAGCTGAACCATCTCTTCCTCTATGTTGTGGTATCGCATCAGCTCAACATCGAAAACTTCAGCGGTCCATTCTTCCCTAACCACAGAAAGTACCCACCGAGGTAGATCAATGCCTTCTTCACCAAGTGAAGCCTGGTTTGGCGATTTACCAGTCAACAGTTCAAGTAGCAACACCCCGAAACTGTACACATCCGATTTGAACGTTACTTTCCGTGTCTCGAGAACTTCAGGAGCATGATAACCCGCCAAACGGTTTGGGGGACTAGAGTTGCTGAACAATTGATTAAGTCCATAGTCAGAGACGCAGGTGTCTTGGTTTGGATGTAGGAGGATGTTTGAGGCTTTGATGTTTCCGTGTACCAATTTGGCTGAAACATGTAGATGAGCCAAACCTCTCGCTGCAGTTATCGCTATTCTCATACGGTTATCCCAATCTAACGGAGTCCGCCCTGATCCACGACTCCCTGAAACAACACAGACTTATTAGCCACAAATTGTAGGTTAACTTCAAATCGTAAAAGCGGTCTCAGAAGATGAAAATGTTCATGGTATTTGCTAACCATTGCAGCTTAACATTATATTAATGTCATCTTAACATGGGTTACAGCTTAAAATCGTAAATGCAATTTCGGTAGATGAATATATTCATATTCTAAAACACTTGACTGTGAGTTAGACAAAAGTTTACTTCAAGAAAAAGAGTGAGGATATGATGATAAGAAAACCCATGTGAAAGAAAAGAGTCTTTTTTTTTTTCTTTTTCTTTTTCTTTTCTTCATTCTCTGTCATCTTTAAAGAGTGAGAGAGAAGCAAAAATTATGAATTATTATGACAATTACCAGACAGGCGCATATAATGTCGGCAGCTTCCTTTTTATTTTAATAATTGCAAAACAACTACAGCTAATATAAATATAACTAACCACACTCACAGATAAAATAAAATATAAAATTGTTGACACAGTGAAATAACTCAAATAAGAATGTTTTTCTTGACAGCAAAGAGCATTCAAAACACAGAACATGTGGAAAGTTTATATTAGAAAAAGATCATCAAAGCATCAGATTCTATCATCACTCCTTAATCTCACTCAATTTTAATTTCATTCTAAGCAAACTATGCATCCAAATCTTGACCATAACCATTGAAATCTGAGTTTGAATTACGGAGAAAACAATAGCAAAAAAAAAAAAAACTAATCTACAAAAACCAAACAAAACTCAAACAAGGAATTTACACAATGTGTCTATAATTGAGTAGAAACTCACACAAGTTCACACAAGTTGGCTACATTTCAGTAGAAATACACAAAATTCACACAATCTAGCTACAATGCAGTAGAAATTCAACCAATCTAGCTACAATTTACTAGAAATTCACAGAAATTAACACAATTGTGGCAACATTTCGTTTAGAAATTCACACAATCTATCTACAATTCAGTTTAAACTCACAAAATGTATTTAGCTCGTGTTAACTATGCATTAAAAGTGAATTATATGGCTTAAACAAAAACAGAGCAAGAAGAATTAAGACAAACCGTGAAGAAGAGCAGACAAGCTTCCATTGGGCATGAAATCAAAGACTAGAAGCTTCTCATCTTTGGAGTAATAATAAGCTCTCAATGGAACAACATTTGGGTGTTTGATTTTACCAACAATCTCCATTTGTGATTCAAACTCTTTCTTCGACGCCACCACATCCTTGAGCCGCTTCACAACCACCGTCGTGCCTTCTTCTAGAACCGCCTTATAGGACGTCCCTACGCTTCCTTTACCCAAAACTTCCGCAGAAGCTCTCAACAAATCCTCCAAATCGAAACTATATACTCCTCCTTCTGTGAAAACTAGCTTGTTCCTCTCTGTTTCTCCTCCCATTCCCGAGGATGTCCCAGTAACTTCCTTCGACGACGAAGCACCCGCCGGAGGAAGTGAATCAGGGATGTTACGCGTTGTGGTCGCCGGTTTCATCTGTTTCGTTCGACCCTCCTTGCTTCCTCGTCGTTTTCTCAAGCAGAAGAATAAGAGAAACGCTAAAAGGAGAAGACCCACCAACCCGCAAGCGACGGAGATCGCGATAATCGCCGCCTTTGAGAGCTTTGATTTCTTACCGGATAAACGCGAGGGAATATCAGACGACGATGGAGACGGCGATGGAGAGATGAAGAAAGATTTGCAAGGCTTTAACGGACCACCACAGAGATTCACGTTTCCTGTGAACGATGAGGCGGGGAATTTAGACAATGACGAAGGAATCGAACCGTTTAAGTTGTTGTCGGAGACGTTGAAGTCATTTAAATCGACGCTTATGCTCGGAAGATTCCCGGAGAATCGATTTTTCCCGAGGAAGAGACCAGTCAAGTGAGTTAGGTTGTTGACTGAGAAAGGAATTGGTCCACTGAAGTTGTTAGATGAGATATCGAGACGAATCAATCCGGTTAGCTGTGTAATACTCGCCGGAAACTCGCCGGAGAATTCGTTATGTTGTAGATATAAGCTCCGGAGGTGAGTGAGGTTTGAGAAATCTGGAGGGATCTGACCGGAGAGACGATTAGAACGAAGACTCAGAACTCGGAGCTGACTAAGTTGGCCCAACGATCCGGATGGGATCTGACCCACTAAACCGGTACCTGGTAACCGAAGAGAGTAGACGGAGGACCGGTCCGAGTTGCATTCGACTCCAACCCAGTTACAGGCTGAGTCAGACTCGTTCCATTTAAGACGATTCTCGTGAGGAATCTGTTGAAGGAAGGCGAGGAGAGCTTGTTTCTCCTGGAGTAACTCTGAGTTGACTCGCCGAGTCAACAATAAAATCGAGACGAAATAACTCAAAGCCCATGAAATGGTTGCCATTGGGGGATTTTTGTGGGAACAGATAGAGAACAGAAAAAAAAAACTACGATAAAACGAATCTTTTCGAGTTTCTACTTTTGTCTGTTTACAAGAAATTGGTTTCGTCGATGAATAGGCTTTGCTAAAAACAACTGGTTATAGGGCAAGAATCCATTTTTTCCTGGGAGCTATCGAGAGAGAGAGAAAAAGAGAGAGAATAGAGTCAGAGCTGTGCTCACCCTTATATGAAAAAGAAATCAGCCTCAAACCCCCATTTTACCATCAAAATTTAGAACTCTACTTTTATACAATATCTTAACATATGTCTTTACGTATCCATGAAATATTTTATATTTTTGAGTTTGTCTCAACTTATCTCATTACTTTTACCAAAAAAAAAACTTATCACATTACTTTTAAATTTATTTCATATTTTCATAAATTGTTTTACATAATTTACTCTACAGTCTACACTATATAACTAGAGTGGTAATTATTTACTCTATACATATAATTTTTTTAAAAAAATATAATGAAAATTCCTTCATAAAATAGACAAATGCATAATATGATATTAAATAAAACTTTATCATGTAAATAATATTTGTTAACACCAAAAAAAATCAAATCTTAACTTTATTCTTATTTTTTAGTTAGTTTTTGTCTATTTTTTTTTAACTCGCCTTGAGCCACCGAAAACGTAGGCACGGCACTGAGTAGAGTCTATGAGTCAATATGTGTCTGTGTGGAGGTGTGGAATCGTGAAGTCTTTTATGAAGAGAAGGAGAATCGCATCAAACTATCACGAGGAACAAAAATATTTAAACAAAAAAATTAATATTAAAGTATTTTTTTGGTGAGAAAGAGAAAGTTGAATGTTTTTGTCTATGTCTCGCGTGGGCTATATATGTCTACTAAATGTAAATTTATAAATAAATGATTAATAACATTAATTTTTTTAATCTCTGTTCTAAGTTAGACAAATCCGAAATTTACAAATAATTTTTTGATTTTAACAAAGTGTTAATAAATCTTTCTGAAATATATAGATAAGAAATCAAAAATTCTACTCTAGATATAATAATTAACGACATTTCATTAGACATATAGATTTTATTTCTTGTATTTTTTTTTTTTTACTTTTTTCTTAGATTTTTACTAAATTTTAGTTTTATAAAATTATAAAAATCGAAAACCCTAGAAACAAAAAAAAATTGTAAACACCATAATAATTAGCGATATTCTAGCATAAATTTTTTTTTTTTTTTATGAAACAACATTCTAATTTTATTCTAATTTTTGTTTCTTTTAACATTTTAGTTAGATTTTTTCTTAACTTCGAAAACATAAAAAAATGGTAAATTTCTAGTTTTTTGTGTTTAAAAAAAAAAACGTTTTTGTCTAATTGTTTTCTAAATTTTGGTTATATATAAATTTAAAAACGGTTTGAATGAAAAAGAAAGAAGAGGTTTAACAATTGTGAAAGTTGTGAGAGAAGTAGTGAAAAGTGGCTTATATTTATACTAATTTTAGTTAACATTTTAGTTAGATTTTTTTATTATTTCGAAAATATTAGAAATCGTAAATTTCCTTTTTTTTTTTAGAAAAACGTTTTTAAAGACATTAGAAATGGTAAATTTCATTTTTTATTTTTTTTTAAATAAAAACGTTTTTAATTTTTTTTTGCCTAAATTTTGGTTTAATCTTATTTTAAAAACAGGTTGATTGAGTACGAAATTAAGTATTTAACCATAATAATTTAGACCGGTTTGTTTTAAATTTTTTTGACACGTCATCAAATGAGAACCAATTAAAAAATGACACGTAATTGGAAAATATGGCTGAACGGTCTTTTTGCAATTGAAACTCATTCTGGAGCTGACACGTAAGCAAAAAACGGTGAAACTCGCTGTGAGCGCAACAC